AACTGTTCTTAACCTGAAGCACCACTTTAGCTAATGGGGCCTCCTGCTGCTGCCGCGCCGCTGGAGCACGATTTCTGTTCTCATCCTGAAACAAAGTTCTTAACCTGAAGCACTATTTCTGGATTAGCGGAGTCTGTAACCTGAAGCGTATGTAACCCCAGGTACCACTGTATTATGCTAGGATTGCCATACAGTGGTGCCTCGGGTTAAGTACTTAATTCGTTCCGGAGGTCCGTTCTCAACCTGAAACCGTTCTTAACCTGAAGCACCACTTTAGCTAATGGGGCCTCCCGCTGCAGCCGCACGATTTCTGTTCTCATCCTGAAGCAAAGTTCTTAACCCGAGGTACTATTTCTGGGTTAGCGGAGTCTGCAACCTGAAGCGTCTGTTACATGAAGCGCCTGTAACCCGAGGTACCACTGTATTTCATAAACTGAAAATCTGGACACAAAAGTGTTTTTTTGGGGGGGAGCGGTTTGGCTAAAGTTGTTGAGCTTTGACATAGGACTGCCCAAGTGAGCATGCATAAAAGCTGTCCCCTGCCGGCTGCTGTCGAAAGCAGAGACCTAGCCGGGAGGCGAGAGGTCCTTGCAAAGGAGCATCAGCCGCCGGCTGTGGTCTTGCCGGCCATTGGCACAGCGTATCACAGCCTGGGCTGGGCCGGGCTTGCTGACGGCTCCTCTTCCGTCTCCATCTCGAGTTGGCTCAAGTCTTTGTCACGGAGACAAAGGGCTGTCGCCAGATACATGATCCCGGCTGAGCAGATGGAGGCCGCAAGTAAACCGGGGCTGGGAGGTTGGAAACGCTGCGCTGAATTTCTTTGGGGGGGGGGGTCTTTCTTTTGCATAGGCTCCCTTCTCCTTTTCCTCCAGGGTTTTGCTTTTTAAAAACTGTCTCTTTGCAGTTCTCAGTGTTGCTTCGCCTCCTTGGTGTCTCTCGCTGGGAGAGAGGGCACCTGCCAGGGGTTGGGGACACTTTTCCTCTCCCGGGCACGGGCAAGGGATGTAAAAAGGTACGTGGCGGGCACGATCCGCCGGGGGTGGGTCTTGCCCAGCTCCTGTTCATTGGTAACGGACTGGATGAGGTGAACTTCGTCCAGACGGGACCGAGGGGCTCTGTGTTGTTTGGAAAGCAGAATGGGGATTCGCCTGAAGAATCAGTTTTGTAGTTTGGATGCATAGCTGTCAACTTTTCCCTTTTTTTAAGGGAAATTCCCTTATTCCGCATAGGATTCCTCGCAAGAAAAGGGAAAAGTTGACTGTGATGTGATCCTGGACTCAGCTCTGAGCCTGGATGCCCAGGTCTCTGCAGTTGCCAGGAGTGCATTTTATAGAATCATAGAATTGTAGAGTTGGAAGGGATCCTGCGGGATCATCTAGTCCAACCCCCTGCGATGCAGAAATATGCATCTGTCCCATACGGGGAATCGAACCTGCAACCTTGGCGTTATCAGCACCGTGCTCTTACCAACTGAGCTATCTATTTCCACAATTAAAGATGGTGTTTTATTCCGAAAGGCCTTTGGGGAAACTGACTTTTTTTAAGGGAAGGGCTCTTGAATAGAGCAATGCTGTTGTTTATTCTCAATATTTGTTTTTATTATCCTGCATTTTAGAGGATTGGAATAGAAGACCAATGGGGTCCCTAACAACAATTTGATTTTAATAGTGTTTATATAGTGTTTATATAGTGTTTTAACTCTATTACAGTTTCATTACTTTCTTAACGATTCTCTTTTATATGCTTTTAGCTCTTTGCATTTTGTTGGGCTTGCTTTTATTTGTGTAAGCCACTTTGAGTCCTGGTCCAGGAAGAAAGCAGGATAGGAAATAATAGTAGTTTGAGCAGGGCTTGTGCAGGAAAAGCTCCCAGCAGATGGTGCCTTGCAAACCTAGCAGGTTTTGAGATAGGCACATAATTTACAAGTGGGTTGTTGCAACAGTGCAAGTGGGGTTCTCTGTATATGGTTTGCAACTTTAATCCAGTTTAAATGAGAAGAGAAAGTATCAACTGGTATTTTGATGTAAACCCCCCCACCCCAAAAAAAACTTGCTTGCATGAGGAATAAGCAGCTGATTAGAAGGGACGCAGGTGGCACTGTGGGTTAAACCACAGAGCCCAGGACTTGCCGAACAGAAGGGCAGCGGTTCGAATCCCCGCGATGCGGTGAGCTCCCGTCTTTCGGTCCCAGCTCCTGCCAACCTAGCAGTTCAAAAGCACCTCAAAGTGCAAGTAGATAAATAGGTACCGCTCCGGTGGGAAGGTAAACGGTGTTTCTGTGCACTGCTCTGGTTCGCCAGAAGCGGCTTAGTCATGCTGGCCAGATGACCCGGAAGCTGTACGCCAGCTCCCTCGGCCAATGAAGCGAGATGAGCGCTGCAACCCCAGAGTCGGCCACGACTGGACCTAATGGTCAGGGGTCCCTTTCCCCTTACCTAATCCCCATGTTACACACACCCCAAACTACATCACTCATACATCACGGTTACATCATGAAAGGGGAGGTCTGGTGGCAGTAATCTGAGCATCCTGGACCCTACCCCATGGTTCCCCTTGCCCTCCACCAAACACCCATCAAGTGTAACAAAAGAGATACCGTATTTACATTGCCCTGTTTCCCAACCAAGTGAATCACCCCCTTTTGTCTTCATCTGGGTTTGTTATTTCTGGAATGGCTACCTGTCTGACACTCAGGTATCAGGATGCCAGGGATTATCCTTCAGGCAGAGGGGCTGCTGAGTAGCTGAGCTCACATGTCTATATGAATTTCTGAAGTTTTCCCAGTGAGCCAGTACACAGATACATTTATCAGCGAATTCTTACATTCGTGCAGCAGAGGCCCTTTGAATAGACAGGAAGAAACTGTGATGAAGTGGGGACAAATCACAAAAGTCACAAAAGCGATTGTGCTGGTTTTGGTAGTGGGCTGCATGTGCAGGATATCTGCTGGAGGGGCAACCTCCCCCCCCCCCCACTATACATAAATTCCTGCAACAGGGGAGAGGGGTCTTGTGTTCAAATCCTGGTTGCGGTTTTCCCGCCGGCATCCGGTCAGCCACTGTTGGAAGGGGATGCTCAGCTAGATGGGCCATTGTCCTGACCCAGCAGGCTCTCCTTATGTTCTGTGATCGCTAAGAATGGAACCTCCAGCTTCAAGGGCAGTGTAGCTTGAAAAAAATCCTTTGCTCCTCATCGGTGAGTTTCCTGGAAGCCCCTGCTCTGAGATCAGGATGGTGGGCTAGGCAGAACTTTAGTCTGATCTGGCAAAGCAATGGATGGAGCAAAGATTTTCTTTTTCACCCATCTGTATTTTTTTATTCATTTAAAGAAAGGGGGGATGTTTAGCCCAGGGAGGGGCCGTGTTGTGAAGATTAATCAGTTAATGTTTGCAAAGTGTGCTGAACACGGAGAGGATGAGATGAAAGCCAGGTCTTATTATGCAAATATCCTCCTTGGCAAGGCGCCAGTTTCTTCATTCTCCTCCTTTCTTCCCCCACCTTGGGGGAATCCTTCCCTGCCCCTCGGAGGAAGGAATAAAGCAATCTGTCAGCCTCCATCACACACACACCCCACAGCCTGGCATGTTACCCCACAAGGCAGGGGCCATGGCTCCCTTTTGCCCCCGCAGGGGTATCAGCTCGGTGGGTCGCCTGTGCTTTGAATGGGGAAGAAGAGGAGAGAAATTAAAGTCTGTTGCATCATTCATTTCTGGCGCAAATTTCAGGCAGAGGCCGCAGAGATTTAGGGAGTGAATTGGGGGGGGATTTTAAACGAGTTTGCCTCTGGTGAGGGGTGGGTGGCAAGTCTTGGCTGCAGGTTGTTGTAAACAAAAATTGCCCTTTTCCCTTATGGGGTATCCAAGAGCCCATATAGAGTCCTTATGTAAGTTCCCTATTGGTAGGAGAGAATAACAGAGGCCAGCCAGAGAATATTGAGAAGTGAAACAGCTAGTAAGCCTGATCTTTATTGATCTGTTGCAACAGGGTGCTCCCCTCACACGCAGGAAAGGAGGAGGAACCCAGAACGATGGCAGGCAAGGCCTTATATGGACTTTTGAAATTGCCACCCTGTAGATCAAGACCATCCCTAGATACATCATACCTACATCACAGAAAGGGTGGTCTACAGCAGAAATCTGAGTGCTTTATTTCCTGTCGTACTATCTGGCAAGTTACCTGTTAATGCTTACTTGATTGGATTGCCTGGGGAGCCTGGCCAGGCTTTTGTAATGATAAATACTTAGGTCAGGTCACAGGCTCACACCCTAGTCATATCTTAAATGTGCCCTTAAGACAGGATTTGTGAGGAAAGAGACAACACTTTGACCTTGCAGAGAAAACATTTACTCATTTGAGGAATCAAAATGGTCGGTCTTCCTGTGCTGATCTATGTACGTGCTTGGTTGGTACACTTATGAACATTACCATATATCTAAGACCTCAGAATTCCCATCACAAACCACAGAGTTGCAAGGGACACCTGAGGGTCATCCAGTCCAACCCCCTGCAATGCAGGGATCTCAGGTAAATCATCCATGACAGATGGCCACCCAAACTCTGCTTTAAAATCTCCAGTGGAGGAGAGTCCATATTGGCACCATGTCATCCTTCTGCCATGTAACTCCTCTTCCGTGGTGGATCTGGCCCCCTAGAAACTCAGGGATGCCCCAGAACAGCAGCTAGCTGAGGAGAAGCCTGAACCCCCAGGAGAGACTGCCAGGGACCCCTCCCTACAGAAGGGGAACTCTTCATTCTAACAGATTTGGTTTTTGTATTGCTTTAATTCCATTAGAGCTTGATTGCTTTTTAACGACCATCTTCTGTACATGTTTAGCTCTTTGTGTTCCGTCTGGGTTGTTTTAATCTGCGTAAGCTGCCTTGAGCAGTAATAATAATAATAACCTTTTTGCAGACGCATCTGGGAGTGATTCCGGCTGAATCAATGGGATTTGTTCTGAGCAAGTAGATCTGAATTGGAGAGTTGGAAGGGACCCCAAGGGTTGTCTAGACTGACCCCCTGCATGGGGCTCAGACCCACGTCCCTGAGATTAAGAATCTCATGGTGTACCAACTGAGCTATCCCAGCTCAGTGCATTCAGATCTGAATTTCTGGAGCCCTGCAAGAGAGCGCATCATGTTTTCACATTAGAAATGGGATCAACTTAACATTAGTCTGGCATCTGCGATAATGAGGCGGCTTTAAGAGATCATGAGAGGCGAGATTCGTTGCGGATAGGAATGGAGAATTCATTAGGAGGTTAGGTGCAAGGCACTTTGTGTTGAAGGAGAAGAATCAATTGCTCACTTTGAGGAAGGAGCCAGAGGCGAGGGGGAGAAGTTTAGAGTAATTGTGCCGATCAATCATGGGGGGGGGGGGGGAATATTGAACCAGGCAACAGCAATTGCAGAGGCTGCAATTCAATGCAGAGGATTCAAACCTACTTCTTGTTGTTGTTTAGTCGTTTAATCATGTCCGACTCTTTGTGACACCCTAGACCAGAGCACACCAGGCACTCCTGTCTTCCACTGCCTCCCGCAGTTTGGTCAAACTCATGCTGGTAGCTTCGAGAACACTGTCCCACCATCTTGTCCTCTGTCGTCCCCTTCTCCTTGTGCCCTCCATCTTTCCCAACATCAGGGTCTTTTCCAGGGAGTCTTCTCTTCTCATGAGGTGGCCAAAGTCTTGGAGCCTCAGCTTCAGGATCTGTCCTTCCAGTGAGCACTCAGGGCTGATTTCCTTCAGAATGGAGAGGTTTGATCTTCTTGCAGTCCATGGGACTCTCAAGAGTCTCCTCCAGCACCAGAATTCAAAAGCATCCACTCTTTAGTGATCAGCCCTCTTTATGGTCCAGCTCTTACTTCCATACATGACTACTGGGAAAACCATAGCTTGAACTATACGGACCTTTGATGGCAAGGTGATGTCTCTGCTTTTTAAGACGCTGTCTAGGTTTGTCATTGCTTTTCTCCCAAGAAGCAGGCGTCTTTTAATATTGTGGCTGCTGTCACCATCTGCAGTGATCATGGAGCCCAAGAAAGTAAAATCTCTCACTGCCTCCATTTCTTCCTTCTTATAACCACCCATTTCAACGGACTTAAGCCCACTCTGTGCTATATTAGGCCGTGACCTGAAGGGCAGAGGGAATTAGATCAGAGCCTGGAGACCATCTGTGGTCCTCCAGGCTTTGCTGGGACTACAACTCCCATCAGGCCCTGGTCTTAGCTGTGCCAACAAGGGCTGTTGGAATAGCAGCCCAGCAAATGTCTGGAGGGGCACATGCTGGCCACCCCTGAATTAGAGGGTTGAAAAGAGGGGTGCTTTGGGATTTAAATATGCTGTAAGCTGCCCAGGGGAGTCCCAGCCAGATGGGCAGGATGTAAATAATAAAATTATTATCATTAAATTATTATTGCCCCTTCCGGTACACAGCTTAACCTGGCCCTCCTTGTTTCCTGGGATGTTGCACTGGAGGAATAGGAGCGAAAGGCTAAATTTTGCAGGTGTGGGAAACCTCGGGGTTGGGACCACGTGTGGCCCTCTAGGCTTCTCTGTCTGGCCCCTGGAACTCTAACTAGGCCATGCCCTGATCTTCATCCTCCTTGAATGTCTTTGCCCAACTGGAATTTGCCCTTGAACTTGGACAATGCCTTTTGCTCACCTGCGTGGAAGATGTGTGTGTTTGTGTGTGAGTGAGGGAGAGAGAGAGCAGAAGCTACCTTGCTTTGCAATGGCAAATTTAGTGTGTGTTGCTCCGCCCACTTTTGCCCCTGGCCCCGCCCAGCACTGACACGTGGCCCCCTCAAGGTCACCCGGAAAAGAATGTGGCCCTCGTTGATGGAAAAAATTCCCCACCCCCGGGCTGAAGTTTGCATGATTCGAGCAGTGGCTGTGGACAGTGGCATAGCGCTGGCAGGGGGTTGCAGGGGTGATTGCCCGTGGCGCAAAATTCTTAAGAGAGCAATCCACGCTACGCCACTGGGCTACAGAGGTTCTGAAGGTGTGTCAAGACTGGGAGGGAGCTGGCTTTCTTTCCTGGCCTAGCAACAAGCAGAACACACGGCTTGAGCATCTCCCAGGGAGCAGGCAGCCACAGGTGATGCCCCTTCTTTTGTGCCTTGACCCGGGCACTGGCAACCCACGCTACACCACTGGCTATGGAGCTGCTTATTTGAGAGAACGGACACCAGCTCAGGCTCCCGTTTTCTCTCTCCACCTGCGGGGTTCAGCCATGATTTGGGGAACTCTGCATCTCCTTGGCTGAGCAAGCCGGACTGAATGGGATGGAGCGTGTGGCACAGAGTGCGAGCGAGATAGGGTGGGGTGGCACAGTATGGCAAGCAAAACTTTACCTTGGGTAGCTCAGGGCTTGCCTGCACAAGGGCGTGAAATGCACCGCAGCAAAGAAAAAGCAAAGACCTCTCTGCCGCTATCAAACGACTCCCTCCAGCCTCTTTCCCTAGGGCTACATCTGGTCTAGTTCTGAGCGATGAAGGCACCATCCCTTGCCTTGCCTTCTCGCTCCTGAAAGGTTGCCGGGGCGTTTTTCGCTCCTGTGAGTCATGGACTCCAACCAATAAAGAGCATTTGTGCTGCCTTGTCTGGAGCGAGGCTCGCATTTCTCTGTCCCTGAAATCTTTTCCTCCTCTGCTCCCCACCTCAGCCCAGCCTGGGACTTAAGAACGGGTCAGGCGAGTGACCCATTTAATCTAGCATCCTGTTCCCCCAGCAGCCGGCCAGGTAACTCTATGGGGAAACCCGCAAGCAGGAGTCGAAATAAAGTCCTTCTTGAAAGACGTAGTTAAACTGTGGAACTCCCTCCCACAATAAGCAGGGATGAGCATTATTTATTTATTTTATTATTATTTATTCTATTTCTATACCGCCCTATACCTGAAGGTCTCAGGCCATCAACTGAGATGGCACTAAAAGAGAGATGGAGAAATTCATGGAGGAGGACAGGGCTGTGGATGGCTATGATCTTTTTTTATGTTTAGAGAAAGTTTTTCTTTTTTTTAAAAAAAATATTGATTATTTTCACATATCAAATTATTCCAACAACTGTATTTCCCCCCAATTTCCCCCCCTCCCATCTCCACCTCATACCCCTCCCTCCCCCTACGGCTTCCCTCAGTTCCTGTTTCTGATTTATTAACACATATTATTCTCTGCATGTTATAAAAATGTAAAGATCTCCAAATTGGCCATCTACTATATCAACAAATAAATTTATGTACGTTTATTCAAAACCTGCCAAGGAGTGCAGTTCGTTTTGTTGTTTCTTTAAGTATTTTGTAAAAAGTACCCATTCTTCTTTGTAGTCACAGTTGTCTTTCTAATGCAATTTGTATGTTAGTTTAGCCAATTCTGCATAGTCCATCAGCTTCTCTTGCCACTGTTCTTTTGTCAGGATTTCTTCGTTCTTCCATCCTTGTGCTATTAAGACTCTTGCCGCCATTGTCGCATACATTAATATATTCTTCACTTTCCTTGGCAGGTCTTTTCCTACAATCCCTAACAGAAATGCTTCTGGCTTTTTTACAAATGTTAATTTAAACATTTTCTTCAACTCATTATATATCATTTCCCATTTTTAAAAAAATTCTCTGCAATCCCACCTCATGTGATAAAAAGTCCCTTCTATTTGAGCCGGTTTTATACATTCTTGCTATCTGTCCTGGAGTTATGTACCATCTATACATCATTTTCATATAGTTTTCTTTCAATAGGGAGCGGTCTGTGAATTTTAAGTCGGTTTTCCACAATCTTTCCCAATCTTCAAACAGTATATTATGACCTATATCCTGTGCCCATTTAATCATGACTGATTTCACCTCCTCATCTTTTGTTTCCCATTCTAACAAAATACTGTATGCCCCTTTCAGTGGATGGCTATGATAGAATCATAGAATCATAGAATCATAGAGTTGGAAGAGACCACAAGGGCCATCGAGTCCAACCCCCTGCCAAGCAGGAAACACCATCAGAGCACTCCTGACATATGGTTGTCAAGCCTCTGCTTAAAGACCTCCAAAGAAGGAGACTCCACCACACTCCTTGGTAGCAAATTCCACTGTCGAAAAGCTCTTACTGTCAGGAAGTTCTTCCTAATGTTTAGGTGGAATCTTCTTTCTTGTAGTTTGGATCCATTGCTCCATGTCCGCTTCTCTGGAGCAGCAGAAAACAACCTTTCTCCCTCCTCTATGTGACATCCTTTTATATATTTGAACATGGCTATCATATCACCCCTTAACCTCCTCTTCTCCAGGCTAAACATGCCCAGCTCCCTTAGCCGTTCCTCATAAGGCATCGTTTCCAGGCCTTTGACCATTTTGGTTGCCCTCCTCTGGACACGTTCCAGTTTGTCAGTGTCCTTCTTGAACTGTGGTGCCCAGAACTGGACACAGTACTCCAGGTGAGTTCTGACCAGAGCAGAATACAGTGGCACTATTACTTCCCTTGATCTAGATGCTATACTCCTATTGATGCAGCCCAGAATTGCATTGGCTTTTTTAGCTGCCGCGTCACACTGTTGGCTCATGTCCAGTTTGTGGTCAACCAAGACTCCTAGATCCTTTTCACATGTACTGCTCTCAAGCCAGGTGTCCCCCATCTTGTATTTGTGCCTCTCATTTTTTTTGCCCAAGTGCAATACTTTACATTTCTCCCTGTTAAAATTCATCTTGTTTGTTTTTGCCCAGTTCTCTAATCTGTCATTATTCCACACTTTGAAGCAGCAACGCTTCTGGAGACCAGTTGCTGGAAACTGCAGAGGGGAGAGGGCTCTTGTGTTCGAATCCTGCTTGCTGTGTTCGAATCCTGGCATCTGGTTGGCCGCTGTGAGAACAGGAGGCTGGGCTAGGTGGACCATTGGCCCGGATCCAGGAGGCTCTTTCTGATGTCCTCATGGTCTCCTCTTCTCTTCCAGGTGTCTGCGGCTGTTGTGGAGCTTTGCGCCCCCGTTACAAGAGGCTGGTTGACAACATTTTCCCCGAGGATCCAGAGGTAAACATGCCTTCTCTGCTTGGCCCATTCTCTGCGGATGAACTCAGAGTTGTTGTGCTTTTTGTGTGTGTGTGTGTTGACAT